CGTGCCCTCCCATATTCAAAGGTCGACAAGATGTAGAGGGATCCTGAACTCTTAAAAACAATCCTAATCGTTCTGAAAACGATTTACGACTTGAAAACGGATGCATTCAAGTTACCTTCGGGATGAACTCTGACCAAAGCGTGCTAGGAGGAACCAATAAGTGGTAACTGAGACCACAACTAGAGCTACTGCTTACCAAAAAACAATTTGTTGCTCAATTCATAAGATATAATTTCTATAAAGAATATAAGTTCGGAAAAAGGCGACTCACTGCTGTAAACATCACTGAATTGCCCGGAAGCACGAGAGGAAGCCAAAAGCGTATTCAGCAACGGTGCTAATGCTGTACTGTCACATTTCTAGAATAGGTTCAGAATGTACAGTACGCACTAAATTTGGTATTACTACAGTTTAACTCACTTTTACTATTAACAATAGAAACGTGAAATCATTTGCAGTAAACTCGCAGGAGCCATCCTTTTGGATAAAGCTCACAGAATTAGACATATACGACTGCAATATTACAAGTATAACCTTCCGAATATGGAGTCGTAAAAAGAGATACGCCAGCAAAGTAGCTATGGTAGCATAATGGAAATTAATTTCCCTTTTGGGAAAAAAAACTCACAGGAAACCTGTCTTTGAGAAGTAAGGCGAGATAGAGAAACTCGACAGAGGTTCTGGTGATAGCAGTATCCAGATAACTTTTCAGCAGAGGCAATACGGTCTGAAATTAGTTCCTAACTGCCCTAGACCAAATGAGGACATGTCTCAGACAGAATAGCTTAAGAAGCAGTAAACAACCGAATGAAAACTTTGAACGAACCGATTTGAATTTCTTCTTATCCATCTCGACGGCAATCTCAGCTATAACTTCGACTATCGACATTCCCAATGACGGATGTGCTCGATAAACATCAAGCTCCTTCTCGATCAAGAAAGCTTCACACTAAAATGAAAACTGAAGGATCGTAAGGAGAGCCTTTGAAAGTTTTGGTGTTTTTCCCCTCCTTACGCCTTTGGTGATCTTACACTACTAACTGTCTCTCGGGGTAATCAGGCTCACTTCGACTTTTCTAGGCTTTCTTTTTAAACAACCTTGAATGCTTGCATCCCATCCCATAACATTGGCCCTTACATGGCTTATTAAAATCAAAGTTAACTCATCTATTCCTAATTAATTACCGATCTGTTGTCAATGTTAAAGTCTGGAAATCTTCTGCCCAATGTTTTCGAAAATTTTGAGAAATCTCCGAACCTCTGCATATGCCTTGGACTGGAAAATTGCATAGGCCAATAAGTGGCGACCAATTCCGTTTGCACCTTCGCTTTCCTAGAAAAGACAACATCAATGATCACAAAAGAGAAAGTGTTGGTTCAAATGGAGATAACCTTGTCATGGAGATCGAGTTTCTTGTCTGCCAACTCATAAAGTCGCTCTACTGTCCATGATTCGTATACCTCAGATAAAAGAACAGCGAGAGCAGCCGAATACCTGTGTAAACCATGTTTGAAACATGATTTATTGTTTGCTTGACCTAATGTTATATTATTTTCAATCTTAAGCAGTCGAAAAGAATCGGATTCTTGGAAAAATTTTATGGATATCACCTCAATCGTTACTGTACATTGCACAAAAAGGAATTTTCTCGCTGTAAACTTTTGACCACTTTCTTTTTGATTTCTTTTACTTCCAGAAATAAATTGGGGTCAAAAACTCACCCAAATCGCGCAGCTCCCCTCGGAGAACTTAACCCTGCCACCAGTCGTTCGATACAGTAGTCTACGATTGAAGAGTCCGATTTCTGCCAAATAGTTCAAAAATATAGAAAAAAAACGAGGGAAAATACCATTCAAACTCACAACTTTCGAGACAAGACGATCAGCAGCACTGAGTCTTTTTCCAGCGTCTAGCTCCACGAGATCGTAGAATTCATTGAGGACGTCAGCAGTAGGACGCATCACCAAGACAAAGGATCGAGTGAATAGTCTGTCTCTTCAGTTTCCGTCTGTGGTGACAAGAATCTCTCGATGTGAAGTGAAGCCCAGCTGCGACAATATTCCTGATTTACGAGGGTTCAAACC